AGGGGGGGGGGGGATCACGAGGTATACAGTGTTTAAAAATAACGTGTACCATACAATAAAGGAGAAAGTCAAACTTTAAAATCTTTTTTTTTTTTTCCTTCTCAAAATTTGAAACCAAAAATGACATCCCTTTTTCCTTTGCCCATTTAGCTTCTGGATGGTTGGACGAGACAGAAAAGTTTGTAGGGCATTGATGGTGCTTTCTGTTGCATTTTATTTCATAGGTAATCCATTGCATCACAATAAGGTAAAATGAGAAATGTTAAATGTATTAGGGCAGGTATAAGGTCACCAGGGAGCCACAGGCCTAAGGACGCGAGGACTCCTGTATGCCCATGCAACGTGAATGACCGTTAGTTAAAATTTACCTCCCTTGCAGCCTGGTGAGGTTATTTGAGAGACGCCATCTCAAATTTCAACATCAGTCTGAAATAGGACATTGACTTCATGTGAGCCAGGTATCAAAGCCCATTGAACCTCTGAAAAAAATTGGTTTTATTTGTTTCATTATATCGCCTCCTGTGGGATTTGAGCCGAGGAGGACCTTCTGCTCTGCAGGTGAGGGATTTAGCCATGAAATTAGACTAGATTATGGAGATTTAGAACCTAATATGGAGATACGACATTCGTGTTTTGTGGCTTTCAGTTCTCTTTTCTTAAAACAAAAACCGTTTTTCAATTCCACAGCAAAACAGCTGTGTGAAACTTTTTAAAGTTGAAATATTGATTAGTGGCGTCGGTAGCCTAGTGGTTAGGCTTCCGGACTCGTAATGGTGAGATTGCGGGTTCGGGGGTTCGAGCCTCAGCTCGGTCCGACGTTGTGTCCTTGGGAAAGGCACTTTACACGAACTTCCCATTTAGCTCGGTCCTATCGGAGACGGACGTTAAACTAGGAGGTCCCGCCCCCTTAAATAACCTAATAGTGCTGATAGGGGCGTTAATCCCATACCATTTCACCTTTCAAACATTGATTATACACACAAACAATGGGTTACAGTTAGATGAATCAGTTGGTGATTGGTTTGAATCTGGAGCCATCTCAAACTTAGAAGGCCTATTTCTCAAAACCAGAGTGCATGGATATAAGACAGTTGTACTCTGGGCCGACGTATGTCACGAAGACTGCTGATTCCTTAAAGTAGGCACACACTTCTTTTTCGGGAGAATTTAACGCTAGGGTAAGCATTCCTGTGTGAAAGTTTCATTTGACCGTGGGTAACATGTGTAACGATGACTATTGATTCTTCTCTAAAGGCACAAACGTCTTTAGCGGGAGAGTTTTACTTAGGGTAATCATTCCTGTGTGAAAGTTTCCAGTTGACCTTGGTTTCTTTATTTTCCATGGGACTGTTGCGAGTCATTAAATAGAAAGTGATTCCATGGTTTGTGTTTTGTCACATTATATAGTAGACTTAAAGACTCGAATTATAATATCCCAGACCCGGCACTGTCATGGATACTGCTCTTTATCTCTCTCTAAAAGCGCGCAAAGCGTGCGCACTATAGACGCCCAAATAACGAGCAAAACACCAAGCTTGCTATAGAGTCGAGTTCGCACAGCACCCCTTTCCCACCCCACCCCACCCCTCGCTTTTAATTTTGCTCCAAACTAGTCAACTGATGCGCTCCATCGCAGTGAAACAGCCCACACGTGCGTAATCACGCATGTGCGTGCGCGCGCACACTCACGCACACACACACACACACACACACACACACACACACACACACGCACACGCACACATACACACACACTCTCTCTCTCTCTTTCTCTCTCTCTCCC